TAGACGGTGCCCTAGCCTCAGTGATAGTATTCAGGACTCTCTTCGGGAGGCCCCAGGATACCCCTTGAGGGGCCACACATGGAGGACCCACTCGCCTGTGTGAGGAGATCTTTTCTCATTGGTACAGGCCAGGGGACTGTGTCCATCATCTGAGCTCTGGGAACCATACCTGGGTCTTCCAGAGCGGAGCTACTAGGAGGACTGCGCATCTGCTCTCCCTGATCTACTCGATGACCTGAGGCATCATCGAGACAGGGGGGAACGCATTTTCTTCGAAAAGAACATCGTGCAGTGAGTGTTGCTCTCTGAGGCAAAGAGGTCGACCTCTGCCCTGCCAAACACACTCCAGATCCAATGGACTGTCTGAGGGTTGAGAGACCATTCCCCGGGGGGAGTGCTGTCTCGAGACAGCATGTCTGCACCCAGATTCTGGATTCCCGGGACATGAGCCGCTCTCAGGGAGCGCAGGTTGACTTGTGCCCAAAGGAGGAGTTTTCTGGCCATGACATAAAGGTTGCCTGACCTGAGGCTGCCCTGGCGATTTATGTAGGACACCACCGCCATGTATGTAGGACACCACCACCACTGACTAAGACGTGGTGTCCCCTTAGGTCCGGCAGAAAACCTCTGAGGGCTAAAAAGACTGCTCTCATTTCGAGGCAGTTTATGTGTGAGCTCTTCTCCGTGCTTGACCAGAGGACGGAGATAGGCTTGCCCTCGTGCAGCGCCCCCCAACCTAGGTTGGAGGCATCTTTGAAAATTGTCTTCCTTCTGAAGACCACGCCCATGGCCACACCCGACTGGTACCAGTCCAGTGTTTTCCAGGGAGCCAGGGCCTTTATGCAGCCGTGGTTCACCTTGATATGCAGGCGTCCTGAACGCCACGCATGGGCTGGCATACGGCGACTTAGCCAGTGCTGTAGTGGGCGCATATGCAGTAGTCCTAGTTGGAGTACTGACGATGCTGCAGCCATAAGACCCAAAAGCCTCTGAAACTTCTTGAGGGGTGTGTGCGCGCCCGCCCTGAGAGAAGCCGCTAGGCTCTGAATAGAGAGTGCCCGCTCTGACGTAAACCGAGCTCTCATTTGTGTTGAGTGCCCAGAAAGATTACATTCTGGCTGGGTGACAGTTTGCTCTTGGAAGTATTGATCCTGAGCCCGAGGCATTTCAAATGGCCGAGGATCCAGGACCTGTGTGTCAATAAATCGGTTTTCGACTAAGCCAGGATGAGCCAGTCGTCGAGATGGTTCAGCAAGCGCACTCCCCGTTGTCTCAGTGGAGAAAGCGCTTCGTCCATGCACTTCGTAAATGTACGGGGTGCTAGGGACAGACCGAACGGTAGGACCGTGTATTGATAAGCCTGCCCCTCGAAGGCGAATCTCAAGAATGGCCTGTGATGGGGCATTATCTGAATATGAAAGTAGGCATCTTTTAGATCCTCTGTGAAAAACCAATCCCCTGTGCGAACTTCCGCGAGGATTTGTTTAGTAGTTAGCATTCTGAATGGCCGTCTCATGAGGGGTCTGTTCAGATGTCTGAGGTCCGATATGGGGCTGGTGCAGCCATCCTAATTTGGTACAAGGAAGTAGCGACTGTAAAACCCCGACTGGCTTAGCGCAGGGGCAACCACCTCTATGGCCACTTTTGCTAGCAGGTTCATTATTTCGGTGCGAAGCACGTGAGCCACGTCGCTTCACACCGAAGTCTCGACGACCCCCTGAAAGCGCGGGGGTCTGCGAGCGAATTGGAGCGAGTAACCTCACTATAGTGTTCATTACCCACTTTGACACTTCGGGAATGGCCTGCCAGGCCTGAGCCCGTGTGGATAGGGGTTGAATGAAAATTGGGGATGGGCCGCCTAGCATGGGGGACCAATTACCCGTGTTTTGTGCACATACTCAGTATGGGGCTGGCTCGCCGAGCCTCGGCTCGAGTGATCTGAGATAGAGTGACAACTGGGTATGGGCCACCTATTGAAAGGGTACCATTGAAGTGGTATGAAACATACTCTTTTTGTACTTTATTGGGGTCGCTGTAAAAACAGCATTTGTTTGTAGGGGTGCGTGCAGTGCAACGGGCCCATTGACTACAATATAAAAATCTACAGCTGCCTGAGCTAAATAGGGAGCTGTGAGATTTGAGTGAGCTATCTTTGAGGGTGGTCCGGCTGTGGCGAGACTCAGGCCCTCTCTTTTCTCTCCTGTTACTAGGAGGCCTTCGGAGGCTCAGGGTTCAACACAATCTTACAGAGGAGAGCGTTGCGGAAGCAGAAGAGCTCGTGCGCGCCGAGTAAGGGGCGTTCCACGATTTCGTCAGCTCTTCGTGCACCTCAGGAAGAAATGGCGCTGGTTTGTGACGGGGGGCCTGCCGGCGCCCTGGTAATAACCATCCATTCAATCTGCTTTTAGCAGGCTCCTTGGGTGTGGCCCACTCAAGCCCGAGATCCGCCACAGCCGCAGTGAGGATTCGAAGCATCTCCGCGTCAGAGTTCGTCCTGGTGCTAGCACTGGACTGTAAGAGAGGAGCGGGGTCAACTGAGCCCGACCACTCTTCCTCAGACGCCGCAGTGGAGAGGCTGTCGTCAAACTGTTCCTCGTCCGATCTGCCGAAAGAGACAAGGCCCGCCACTTGCTGGGAGGGGTGTTGGTCCGCCTGAGTAGACAGGACCGGCGAAGTGGACTATGATGGAGAAAGCGATGCACGTGGGGATGTGGCCGGCGTGGGCTCGCTTAACTCCATTTGCTCAGGTTGACGCTGGCTGAGGCGCTTCTTCTTCCGTGGCTGAAGTAGTGCCGGAAAAGGAAGCGCAGAAGGACCGGTGCCGCCATCTTGTTTCAAGAGAGCTAACCGTGTCGACAGCGTGGAGATGGGCAGGCTCTCGCACTGAGGGGATCCTCCGGCATAGAGTGCAGCTTCCGCGTGGGGAGATCCAGGCAGGTGGCGCACTCCGTGTGCCCATCCGCCTCGTGCAGCTGTGAACAGCACGAGGTGCAGAGAGAACGAGGGTTTTGAAACAACGCTTGTGCTCTCAGAAAATTGCTCTTTCAGAAAAACTGTGTGTCTAACACGAGAAAGGATATGCGTAGTCGCCGGATCGCCGCAGGAGAATGGTGACAGAAGAGAGCGGCTTCCTCGAAAGAAGAAGGCTCTGGTCCGCTTCAGTTAATGTTCGTTCTAGCTGCTTGGCTTGATTTGACGGCGAAGCTTCGTAGAGGAGACAGAGACGTGAAAGGTCGCTGAAGGAGATTAAATCTGTGCAATGGCAAAATGGAGCGAGTTTTATAGCTATAGCCACGCCCATTCTGGCGGGCTCCAAAGTGCTTGGCGCCAAACTGCCTGATTGTTTCACGCGTCTGAGCTGCCTCGCCATAGGATGTGCAGTTGCCTCAGCACAGCCAATGGGTGAGCTAGTAACTCGGTTGGTATTGCTGTGCAGCTGCACTGCGTTTTAAAATATAAGCTTCAATATTCTTGAGGAAAGGAGTTTCCCCACTGCGTATTAGCTACACAATACGAAGTGAACGTTCTCGAAAGGGAACTGAAAAATACCCTCCTCGAAAGACCAGACATGGACTGTTTCAGTTAGAGATAGCAGATATTGCCACACAGATGGGTGTTGAGTGGTCTGTTTAACGTCCTGATTGGGGAAAGATTCCGTTAGCTCCAACCGTTGGGTTGTACTGGCATGTCGTTTGTAAATAATATTAACAACATTGTGTTTTATAACTCAGATTTAATGATGCATTCAAAAAGTCTTACATAACACAATGAGCAGTTTATCATTGCAACATACTACACACAAATCCACAAAAGTTAAACATCATGCCATTGAACTGTCAGAATATGTGGAAATTCTCAGTCATACAGAAGTTGCAACACAACTTCTCACCTCACAACTTGCAGACTTAAAGGAATAGTGCACTTAAAAATGAAAATTCTGTCATATTTACTCACCCTCAAGTTGTTTCAAACCTGTATTCATTTCTTTCTTCTGCTGAACAAAAAAGAAGATATTTTGAAGAATGTCGGTAACAAAACAGTTGATGGACCCCATTGACTTCCATAGTATTTATTTTTCCTACTAAGTCAAGTCAGAATTTTCATTTTTAAGTGAACTATTCCTTTAAAGGACCACAGGACATTCAGAGGTCTCGTGGAGTCCATGCCTTGATGCATCACAGCTGTTTTGGTAGCACTAAGGAGAACTACACGATAGTATTGGCATATGGTTTTAATGCTGTGGCTGATCAGTGGATAATATAATATACAGTAATATAATATAATATTCTTTCAATAGAAAGCATTTTTTTGTGGCATATTTCACCTAGCAGAATGAAATTGATGTTGAATTGAAGTTGTCTATTTCCATGCATTTCTTCACTATTGTGTCCCTGCTGAAAAATCCAGCATTGCTTGTCACCAACATAAGGTATGTTTTGGATGCTGGGACCAGCATGGTATGCTTGATGCTGGTACCATTAGAGGTTGAATTAATTTCAAAATATGCCAAACTTCCCTTACTACTTCTGAATAGGATGCCTACTTCATAAATTGTATGACAATTGTGGAAATAATGGTTCAGATCACTCAAAACACCCTTATATGGGCAGTAATGGAGTCTGGTTGTGATAGTGAAAAAGTTTGGCTGCGCCCAAACAAAATCTTACTGAAAGCTCATTTTTTGAGATATCAACCTAAAATTTTAAACACAACTTGGCAGAGTTTTGGCTTTGATTTTCTTGCAGTCCACCAGGTTTTGAAAAAAAAATATATTTTATATAAAATATGAATAATTAAATTTTTACATTTTACATTTTCATAACTTTTTCTATAACTTTTTTTCTGTTTCACTTTCTTAATTTATTTAACTTCTACAAATGTCTTCTTTAAAACAAGACCAATCTTACATCTATATTCCAAAGCATTCTTGAATTACAACCATTTAAGTTTGGATTGCGCATTTTCATGTTTATTCAAAAAAGGGGGCGTGACACTTAAGAGAAGGATGTAAAGCTTTTATTTAAACAACAACAAACATAATCGTGACTAGATTCAGGTAGGTGTAGAAAAGTTTTTATTAATATAGCAATACATGAGATATACAGGACGTATGAAAAATAGAGGTTATATATATGCAAAGGATTCCACAGCTTTTTTTACTCTGTGATTGTACTGTCAATCCAATTGGTGTAGTGGGAGATGATCGTGTAGAGTCCAGGCTTTTTGCTGGAGCCACATTTCTTCCCTCCATTAGAGGTTATCCCCACAACAACATCCTTGTATAAGAGAGGACCTCCGGAGTCACCCTATTAGAGAGAAAGACAGCGGAAGCGAGAGAGGTCATATATTCGAGTTTGTTTCCACCTATAGCAGTCATGTCAGTACTTTATAAACCATTGCAGTAAAACTTACATCACAGGTGTCCTTTCGTCTTTCTGCAGCACAGAGCATGTTGCTGGTGAACTTCAATCCATAGTAGTCACCGCGGCCACATTCTCTTCGGCTCTTGACCGTGATACTGAGTTCTTGCAATTTGTCTGGTCGTCCTCCCAGGTTGTTCAAAGAGCCCCATCCAGCTGTTCCAACAACAGCAGACTCCTTGGGATCGGCCTCTTCTTCACGTTGGAATTTCACTGGTTTCACTGCATAGCTCTCAGTGATTGGCTTTTCCAGCTGTCAAAAACAAAATCATTCTATGTAACTGACAGTCTGCTGTAGAATACTGATCTCTACACATACTGTCACAGGGACATGTTGTACTTGGTGAAATCATGTTCACCACATGCATTCACAGACTGCTTTTCAGCTACATGATTGGATCACAGTATGTACCTTGAGCAGGGCGATATCATTGTCATAGTTGCTTATACTGAAATCAGGATGGCTGTAGACTGTAGTGTCATAGGTTTGTTTAGTGTCCTCAGCATCAGACAGGGAGTGAGCACCCAACACGGCTTTAACACCGGATGTCCTCCTGCAACAAACAGGACATTTCTCATTTTGCAACTTCGTATTGCAACTTAGTATTTCTGCAACTTCAAAACAAAATCAAAATAAACCCTCCGAACAAATCACAGTGATCTGGGACTGATATTATTTCATCTTTGCATCGAAATGCTGTCGCACAGCTCACTAGTGTTGTTATGTTACATACCCATTCTGAAAGCAGTGTGCTGCACTCATGATCCACTGACTGGAGATCAGAAAGCCACCGCACTCATGTTTTCCATTCCACTGAAGTGAAGCCATGTACGGACGAGAGTGTGCATCAGCCTCTTTTCCTCCTGTAATGCATTCACCTGCAAATAACACAATCATTTAAACTGTATAACATGAGGAAAACCTCATTAATCAAACCAATTATATCGATTCCCCATGCTTAAATGTAGAAATGCACAACAAAAATGCATATCCTGCAGCATAAATAGACAAAGAATAGTGATATTTTGAATATTACTCACCAGTTTGAGAAGCTGCGTAGAGCAGCACAGAGGCAAATAAAAGTCTATTCATAGTGAACGATCGTTGTCTGTATGCTTCTGAGACTGAAGACCACTGAGTGTTGGCTGAGCTTTATATACTGCCCAAACGGGAGAGAGGGTGTGTGGGAGTGTTGTTCTCTTTGCATTCTTTTCTTAATCGCCCATCAGACAAGAGAAAACAGGAATATGCCATAAATCTTCTTCATTACATATTTGTGTCTGTTTCACTTTTCCTTTCCTGCAAATGTGTCCTTTACCGTAATCATGTCTTTTGTTATTTTCCAAGTGAAGAGGACATAAATGTTTGTGCGGAGTGCAATAAATCAATAATCCGAAAAACTTTTTTCCACTATAAAAAAACCTTTTGTGCATCTGGAATTGTGCATAAAAAACCTTTTGTGTATCTGGAATTGTGCATAAAAAACCTTTTGTGCATCTGGAATTGTGCATAAAAAACCTTTTGTGTATCTGGAATTGTGCATAAAAAACCTTTTGTGTATCTGGAATTGTGCATAAAAAACGTTTTGTGCATCTGGAATTGTGCATAAAAAACCTTTTGTGCATCTGGAATTGTGCATAAAAAAACCTTTTGTGCATCTGGAATTGTGCATAAAAAACCTTTTGTGCATTTGGAATTGTGCATAAAAAACCTTTTGTGCATCTGGAATTGTGCATAAAAAACCTTTTGTGCATCTGGAATTGTGCATAAAAAACCTTTTGTGCATCTGGAATTGTGCATAAAAAACCTTTTGTGCATTTGGAATTGTGCATAAAAAACCTTTTGTGCATCTGGAATTGTGCATAAAAAACCTTTTGTGCATCTGGAATTGTGCATAAAAAACCTTTTGTGCATCTGGAATTGTGCATAACAAAAACTTTTGTGGAATTGTGCATAAAAAACCTTTTGTGCATCTGGAATTGTGCATAAAAAACCTTTTGTGCATCTGGAATTGTGCATAACAAAAACTTTTGTGGAATTGTGCATAAAAAACCTTTTGTGCATCTGGAATTGTGCATAAAAAAACTTTTGTGCATCTGGAATTGTGCATAAAAAACCTTTTGTGCATCTGGAATTGTGCATAAAAAACCTTTTGTGCATCTGGAATTGTGCATAACAAAAACTTTTGTGCATCTGGAATTGTGCATAAAAAACCTTTTGTGCATCTGGAATTGTGCATAAAAAACCTTTTGTGCATCTGGAATTGTGCATAACAAAAACTTTTGTGCATCTGGAATTGTGCATAAAAAACCTTTTGTGCATCTGGAATTGTGCATAAAAAACCTTTTGTGCATCTGGAATTGTGCATACAAAAACTTTTGTGCATCTGGAATTGTGCATAAAAAACCTTTTGTGCATCTGGAATTGTGCATAAAAAAACCTTTTGTGCATCTGGAATTGTGCATAAAAAAAACTTTTGTGCATCTGGAATTGTGCATAAAAAACCTTTTGTGCATCTGGAATTGTGCATAAAAAACCTTTTGTGCATCTGGAATTGTGCATAACAAAAACTTTTGTGCATCTGGAATTGTGCATAAAAAACCTTTTGTGCATCTTGAATTGTGCATAAAAACCTTTTGTGCATCTGGAATTGTGCATAAAAAACCTTTTGTGCATCTGGAATTGTGCATAAAAAACCTTTTGTGTATCTGGAATTGTGCATAAAAAACCTTTTGTGCATCTTGAATTGTGCATAAAAACCTTTTGTGCATCTGGAATTGTGCATAAAAAAAACTTTTGTGCATCTGGAATTGTGCATAAAAAACCTTTTGTGCATTTGGAATTGTGCATAAAAAACCTTTTGTGCATCTGGAATTGTGCATAAAAAACCTTTTGTGCATCTGGAATTGTGCATAACAAAAACTTTTGTGCATCTGGAATTGTGCATAAAAAACCTTTTGTGCATCTGGAATTGTGCATAAAAAAACCTTTTGTGCATCTGGAATTGTGCATAAAAAAAACATTTGTGCATCTGGAATTGTGCATAAAAAACCTTTTCTGCATCTGGAATTGTGCATAAAAAACCTTTTGTGCATCTGGAATTGTGCATAACAAAAACTTTTGTGCATCTGGAATTGTGCATAACAAAAACTTTTGTGCATCTTGAATTGTGCATAACAAAAACTTTTGTGCATCTGGAATTGTGCATAAAAAACCTTTTCTGCATCTGGAATTGTGCATAAAAAACCTTTTGTGCATCTGGAATTGTGCATAACAAAAACTTTTGTGCATCTGGAATTGTGCATAACAAAAACTTTTGTGCATCTGGAATTGTGCATAAAAAACCTTTTGTGCATCTGGAATTGTGCATAAAAAACCTTTTGTGCATCTGGAATTGTGCATAAAAAAACTTTTGTGCATCTGGAATTGTGCATAAAAAATCTTTTGTGCATCTGGAATTGTGCATAAAAAAACCTTTTGTGCATCTGGAATTGTGCATAAAAAAAAATTGTGCATCTGGAATTGTGCATAAAAAACCTTTTGTGCATCTGGAATTGTGCATAAAAAACCTTTTGTGCATCTGGAATTGTGCATAACAAAAACTTTTGTGCATAAAAAACCTTTTGTGCATCTGGAATTGTGCATAAAAAACCTTTTGTGCATCTGGAATTGTGCATAAAAAACCTTTTGTGCATCTGGAATTGTGCATAAAAAAACCTTTTGTGCATCTGGAATTGTGCATAACAAAAACTTTTGTGCATCTGGAATTGTGCATAAAAAACCTTTTGTGCATCTGGAATTGTGCATAAAAAACCTTATGTGCATCTGGAATTGTGCATAAAAAAAAACTTTTGTGCATCTGGAATTGTGCATAAAAAAACCTTTTGTGCATCTGGAATGTATGGTCCATGTATCTTTTGATCATTTGATTTCCTGTTTGGAATGGAATAACGAGAAATGAAAACCAGAGGGGTCGTTTATTCGTTGTTTTTTTTTGTTTGGAATGGAAAAATGAAAAATTAGATTTTGGCTCGATTTTTCATTTATGGTTTACAAATCGGTTTATGGGTTCGAGTGGGGTCCGTGTAGGTCCGTGTACGTTTTGATAGTTTGTTTTTTCGTTTGAACCACAAAACGTCTCCGGTTACTATCGTAACCTCGGTTCCCTGAGAGGCGGGAACGAGACATTACGTCATACTGACGTATATGGGAACTCCTCCCTTCTCCATTTTCACTGAAATCTTATAGGATAACGCCAGCTGGAGACAGCTGGCCAATTGACGCAAAACATGCAAATGCTGACCGGTCCGCGGGCAGTATAAAATAGCATGGGCGCGACAATTACGTCAGAATCAAGACTGAACGCTAGCACAGCTGATCAAACGGCGAGCACGGCGGTTGACGTAATGTCTCGTTCCCGCCTCTCAGGGAACCGAGGTTACGATAGTAACCGGAGACGTTCCCTTTCAAGGCGGTCACTTCGACATTACGTCATACTGACGTATATGGGAACTGTATAGAATCCCGCCGTGAGCGCAGTGAAGATAAGCCCTGAACGGGGTCAAGCTACACTCCCACAGGAACAACAGTTCTAAGCCAGCAGCGCCGCTAGGAGCACTCAAAACTGATAGGCGAAACTAGACCAACGTCTGCTCCGGCTTACCAAGTTGCGCATCCACTGCAATGAGGCGAAGGCTGCACTGGACAGGGCAGCAGAATACCATAAGCACTCGAGCACAAGAGCTAACACAGTGTCGACGGCATAGCGGTGACAGCTGCATAACCTTAAGCCACACACAGAGTTAACAGTACGTTGGAACTACTGCGTAATGTGGAAACAGCTATGTAACCTTATAGTCATAACACAGAGTTAGCAGCAATGGTAACTCTGCAATACAGACTACTGCACAGCTGGTGGTAACAGTTTCATGAGTACATTGATAAAACTCACCGAACCCACGACGCTAAGGTGGTGCATCAAACTTGGAACCCTGGCGAATGTGTTCTGAGAAGACAGCCAGCATACCTAAATCCCGTAGGCATTAAGCAACCATTTAAAGCATCGAATTCAGAGAGAAGTCTCTGTATAAAACAGCACGTCCCTAGTACCATCCACCAAGCACACAACAGCTGGTAGACTGCTGCCAAGTGATCCACGTACATCCACAAATCCCTTACAGGGCCAACATCACTCTGAGCATCGGCATCATGCGAGGCTGAAACTCAGCAGATAAGGCGGGCAGGGATCAACCTGTGCTCTGAACGGTGTAAGCGACTTCGGAACGTAGCTTGGAATCGGACTGGGAGTGACGCTGCAGTCATCAGGTCCGAGACAATGCGACAACATTCACTAGAATGAGCGTAAGTCTCCAAGTGCTTCGCTGGGGCGAGAGCCGGTGGTAAGGCCATCTTAGGGAGAGCTCCGTTTCTCAGCACTTGTCAGTGTGAAGTGTCTTGCTCAACTAAGGACCCAGCAGCGGACACACAAGAAGGTTCCACAGCTTGGGGCTGGGGTGCCACCTTGTAGAACATAGCCGATGTTCTATAGCCAATGTACAGAAGTGCAAATCAACACATAACTGAATGTACATAAACACAGTGCCAGTGGCTGTAGCGACGACAACTGTGAATATACGCAGTTAGAAAATAGCCCCATAATAGCATAGCACCTCAGTAAGCAAACAAACAGTCATAACTGTAGCTACAACTGTGAATATATGAGTTTGCACAGAATAACCAGTTGCCCTGATAGGAACGGGGCAATATAACAGCGTAGCACATGCACGTACAGCATTTTTCAGAAACTTAAGATGCATAGTTAGATTAGGATGGCTAGCAGCACTGAAGGAAACAGGGCAGCATTACTAGCATAACACATCCGTTTACGTACATACATCCAGAACTGTGAATATGCACGGTTAGATTAGGATAGCTAGTTTTGCACTGAAGGAAACAGGGCAACAAAAGCAAAAACACGTCCTTGTACGTGCCGTGTAGTCGCCATAGCGACAGAACTGAATATGCAGTTAGATAGGATAGCTGGATGTTGCACTGAAGGATAGAGGGCAACATAACAGCATTACCCATCAGTGTGCACATATCAAACATCTGAGTGTATAATGCGGTGCAAGTCGATGAAGCGACCG